GGTTTGCACCAGAGTGAAGCGATCTCTCGCTCTGACATCTGGAAACGAAAAAAGCAGTTTTATTGCTTATGGATTATCAGAAATCATTTCAAAGAGGACACAGACACATAGGATGAACCTATGGATTAACTGCAGCATCGTTTTGTATCATTTTAATGCCATTGAAGACCAGTTTTGACCAAGATAAGCCATGTTAGCGTTTGTAGCTACCTAGCGCCACATGTTTTGATGTACGTCTTCGTTTATAGCGTCGCAAATGTTTATCACTGAGTGTTGAGGTGGGCACCCCCAGATTCTGTGTCTCCAGGCGATGCTAATCGATGGGTTGGCTGTGCATCTAGGATAAGTAATAAGGGAGTTATGAGTGAGTTTAGGTGCAGTGATAGGTTAGCATTTTTTCGCTCGTGGCGCAGAGGCTGAGTGTTAGCATTGTGGTTTTTTTTTTGGGAAAAAAAAATTAATAAGATCAGTTAGCTGAGTTTCTTCCTGTTACATGGATATAAAACATTCATAGTTTATTAAATATTAAGATTCCTTAGACGTTGTTTCCTGCAAATGACGCGTTTTTCCGCCCGGTACCGGGGGGGCGGTGCGCAACAGGTTAACCCAGGCATGGGCAAACTAAGGCCTGCGGGCCATATACGGCCCGTTGGGCTTTTGAATCTGGCCCGCCGAATATTGGTACAAGATTGTCCAAATTATAGTAAAGACCGCATTCATTTTGCCTTTTTCCTGCAATACCGGACATTTCAGTTGATCCCACTAGATGGCGCACTATAGACACAATTTACCTTTGCTGGAGTCTGGTCTATTCTCTCAGCTGGCCCCACTCGGCAACCCGGCAAGATCCAAGAACCAAATACGTCACGCTTACATTGGAGGGGGTCGAGATTAACCTGAGCAATAACAGTTCATGGCGAGTACGGCGAATACAAGTTGTAACAAGCAGTAGCGCTAAGCAAAGTGACTAGAACGCGACCACACACTTATAAAAAACACTTATATAAAGTCAGGCAACACTAACCAGGCTTAGTGTGATTCTGTTCATTTTACCTTACTTTAATAACCATCCGTTCACTGTTATTGACCATTGTGAAGAGGCAGACGTTTTCCTTTTGTTTTGTATTATTGCAGCTATCGGATGGAATAAATACATGGGCTACATGTGGCTATCACAAGTAAAATCATAACAAAAACTACGCCGGTAAAATATGCGTGTAGAAAACGGCTTATGCCACAATATGATAGCAACAAGTAGTCAAGATAGTCTGATTAGCTTCGGTTGCTATGCTAACATCACCTGTAGAATGCCAGAGAAACTTTCATAACAGCGTTGTGATACCGAACAGCTTTCAGACTAAAACGCATTCACTTATGGGGATGGGGGATATTTATCAGCTGCTTGTGTGACAGTCAGACAATGAAAACTTTACAGCGGCCGCTGCCGCGAGTTAACGGGAGAATAAACTCCGGTAGACGAGCAGTGCTGCAGCAGGCAGTAATGCAGCTGAACCACATTAATAAACAATGCACCACGGCACTCTGGAGAAAGGTACAAGGTTGGAGAAGTAGTTCTTTAATTTAATCTGGTTTTGTATAATTAAAAACTACCCGACGCAGTCCTCTATTGATGTTGTTGTGAGCGGTGTTGCGGAGAAAATCAGCGACGTAAAACGCTGTGTGGGTCATTAGAAGGCACGTAAACGGTTACGTCATGACGCAAACGATGACGCAATGACGCAATAACTCACCTTTGAACCTAATTCACCTTTGAACCTGCATCTGTAACAATGAGTGGACCAAAGAAAAGAAAAGTCAACATTGAATGCCGAGTGTATAATGAGGAGTGGACAGCTAAATATTTTTTTACCCATCTGCTACTGGCCCGGCCCGTCTGTCAAATTTAAAACTCATAGTGGCCCCCGAGCTAAAAAGTTTGCCCACCCCTGGGTTAACCGATAGCAGCGTCCCTAGCAACCACGTTGGCAACAATGTACACAATTTCCTGAAGTAATTTTCGTAATAACTAGCAAACTAAAGGTCATGTACATCCACTGCACAAATAATCTGAAATAACAACTCATATTTCTCGCTTAAAATGACATCAAAACGCATTTTAATGGCCAAACTAACCTTAAAATATGCATTTTCTACAGAGAATAAAACGAATGTCGGCCATGTTTTTTTTTTCTGTGGAGAGAAAGTTGAAGATCACGTGACATGGACATCGGCCATTGGAAATGAATGGTGAAAAAAAACGTAGGGATCCTACAATTTCAGAGGCGTTTTTGTAGAAATACTACGTCCCAAGTTGTGGACCAACGTAGTTATTACACATTTAGATGTGAGACTGGGTTGGAATAAACCTTTGGTAAACATGCCGGATGGTTCCCTCTGAAGTACATCAACACAGTGACAGCGCTTATCATCTTACTCCTCATCAATGAGCAGTAATTGCACATGTTCAGCTCCTTGCATTATACATGTTGCTGGCACTCCAAATGTACCAATGCAATTAGGAGCTGACAAAATAGTGTGTAACACCAGGCTGCTTCTGAAGGGCCTCGTTCTGCCTCTTAGCTGAACAGCAATGTGATTAAAATGAATAATATAGAGAAAGCAGCACTCTTGGGGGTGAGTGGCCCCACATGTAACTGGGAAACTAAAAACCAACAGCCGATGTGTGGTGTCAGCAGCCAACTTAACACTACGCAAAGAGAGAAGTTAGAGAGCAGCTCCAACAGCTCACTCTTTCTTTTATTTTGTTTTAGCCAATATGCTGAATCTATAAAGTAACTAGTAACTCATTTTGGAGTAAAAAGTACAAAATTGGCTTATTGGGTATTTGTACTTTGATTGAATAATACTCAATTAAAGTACAAATACCCAATCTTATTTAAGTACAGTAAATGTACTTTACTACATTACACTACTGGATAACTCCACAGCTAATACAATGATTGTAATTCAATGAGATCTGAACTGTTGTCCTAACTCTTACAGGGTTCATCGTTTTTTTCAAATAGATCACTGTCTCACTCACATCTTGAAGAAAACTAAATAGCATAGCATAATGATGCGATGACACTCAGGTAGACATTACAATAAGCCCTGACAATTATGGACGATTACAGTACATAGAAAACAGAAACAATTATTTTTGGTGCCAAAAAGGAACCGCCCGATGTTAGCGCTCTACTCGATGCCCTGCAGTTTCAAACATCAGTCTCAGAAGTCTTAGTGTAGATCTGCCCTCTGCTTTTCTTTTGATGTGGGTTTTGAAATGTAGGTCAGAGTCAGCATACCGTCCGAAAACAAGACAGAAAACAGTCGCAACACGATCCAGAGAAACTGTTAAAGCCTTTGTCTTTAGTAGGCTTGATTTCTGCAACAGTGTCTTTACAGGTCTCTGTAAGAAATAAATCAGACACCTGCCACAGTGTCATCCAGAACACTGCTGCCCGAGTCCTGACTAGAACTGGAAGAGTAGAACAGGTCCTCCCAGTCTCAGAGCTCTGCACCGGCTCCCAGTACCTCAAGAATTACCTTCAAACTGTTACCATTAACATACAAAGAACTTAATGAACTGAGGTGCTCTTACCCTTCTACCTCCAACTACTGCTGAGTGCTGTTTGCACTGGATACTGCAGAACCAGAATGTGACCACATTGTTCCAGAGAGCACTGTTCTCAGTAAATCTTTTTCAACTAATTCGATAAAAAATTCAAGGAAAAGAAAACTGTTCAGTACAGTGAACACTGGGTAACTCTACACAGGGGTCATGTTGAGGTTAACTCATTTTAAGAGTCCCTTTTCGGTTCAAAAAGAAAATCTCCATGAGTGCAGCAGGTCAAAGTTTGGTGTTTTTTTCAGGTGTGATAAAGAATACTGGAGTTCCTGCAGAAGTAAACGTTATACTCTCATTAAGTGCAGGGGCCATGGAGGCTCAAGGAGAGCAGTATTCCTTTTTACTTGAAGTTGAAGTATTTACAGGTAATCAGGAGCCCTGCCTGCTGTTACTAAGATACAGAACTTAGTGCACACAAAGTGCACACTGAGCCAAATAACAATCATGCACATAAACTGCATAGTGCACAGAGAGCGCTGTAACCACGGATACCTTCCATGGCCACGGCTGTGTTTATATGCCAGAATATCAGACCAACTCATGCTAAATTAGACGCATATGCAGAGCACAAACAGGCTTCCTAACATGATTATGACCGGGGAGCGTTTGCATCTGCTTCAGTTTTCACTCTCTGAACGGTTAAGTGGCACATGGCTGAAGTGTTACAACCTCTAACAGCTGCTGGCATACATCTGAGTTACACTGACTGTTAAAGTAATGACAACGTTCCCTGCAAGGGAGTAAACAGCAGACCCTGTACGTGGCACAACCAGGGGCCCGTCACCCTAAACCAGAGGCCTTCACCCTAATCCAGGGGTCCGTCACCCTAAACCAGGGGCTCGTAATACCTCGTTTTATCTGCTGTTACACACTGTGTCAGGATGTTATCACTGAGCTACTGCCTCATTTTTTAAATTAGGTGGGAACCTGTATAAGCATATACATAATAACATTAAAAAGACTTGGTTGGTATCGGGGTAAAATAAAAAAGGGAGAAATGTACAGATTAAGCTGCAGTAGTTCAAGACTTAGCTCAAACACCTTTTCCATCAGTGAGAAGAAACATCTACAAAATTCCAGATCAGGTCAACATAACTGGTTTCTCCTAATGTGATACTTCACAGTGCAGCTGGAAGACTGTCAGTTTATATCCAGTGACTAGTTTTTAAATATTTTTCCTGGTAAGCCTTCCTGTACCGAAGCTCAGTGTGTGCACAATGCTGCACTTTTAGTGTGAGCTTTGTTTGGAAAATATGTGAAAACAACATATAATGTTTTTTTCTCCCTAATCAACTTGCCCTTAAAAGCAAAAAGGAAAGAAAATCAATAGCAGCAAAAAATGTTTAATCCTGTATCAGGTAGAAACACTTACCTTCAACCTTGCTGGCTTCCCACGACCTTGTAGGTGGGTGATTATAGAGAGGATGGAGAGAAGTGTTGCTGGAGCTGGGGGGGGGGGGCAGAGGGAATAGAAAGTAACAAGACACGCTTAATTAGTGTACGATACAGCGGACTAATAAGAGCGTTCTGTCACATTGTGATCAAACATATGGGGCTCGTGAACCGGCATGTTCCGCTGAATGATTAGTGAAGAGACCATGTGACCAGCAGCGTTCTGCAGGAAGCTGCTTCACTATTGACTATTGACACAGCTTCACTATTGACACAGCTACACCCCCCCCCCCCCCCACCACTGATCCCAGCAGGTATATGTCACGCCTGTAGCTCTGCTAATGAGTTCAATCACCCACATGTACACAAGAGAGTGTAGGAGCTGATGCATTAGTGCTGTTTTAATTAGTAAAGAGAGACGGACTGAAAGGAGTGAAATAAAAAGCCAAAAGTGTAGAAATCAGCTTGACTCTATTTAAAGGTCCCATGACATGGCCATTTCTACTGATCATAATTCCATTGTTGAGGTCTACTAGAATAGATTTACATTGTTCAATGTTCCAAACTCACATTGGTTTCTCATACAGCATCTCTGTATAGTATGTGTATTCACTCTCTGTCCTACACGACTTGTTGGAGCTCCTGCCCCCCCCCTCCCTGTGAGCCCACTGTGCTCTGATTGGTCAGCTCGCTCACTCTGTTCTGATGAGTCGACCACCGTTACAGCGGAACATCAGTGATTATGTGTTACAATGGCGTTTGTTAGCAACCAGAAAATGACACCAGTAATGACAAACAGATGAGAATGCTGCGTGGGGTCTGGGTGCCGTGTTGGGGGGACGTTGGGGGGCTCGCTGCTCCGCCATTTGAGGCTCGAGGAGCGGACAGTGTGAGCTGGATTACTGGTGTCGTTTCCTGGTTGCTGCGTGGGGTCTGCGAGACAGCGAGACATTGCGGAACTCAGAAAAATAAAAATCTCTCCAAGGAGGCGTTCTGGGGCAGCATAGACAGTTCTTCTCTGTGTTAGAGTTTTACTCGCTACAGGGTGTACTTTGAGGGTTAGTGACTCTGCAGACCGTTTACATGCAGACAAAGCTACATAACACACAAGGGGACGGGTAAGAACCAGAAAAGCATGACATGGGACCTTTAAGGTATTTAATGTTAAACTGGACAGCTTCAAAGACAGTTCAGTAAACAAATGAAAATGTAAACATGTAATCTTAAAAGCATAAATGTTCTTATATTTTGTGAAGTATTTGCTCAGAAAGCAATACATACAAAGGTTTCTAGGTCCCAATATATTGAACAATCAACATGTTTATTAGGTGTGCAAACAAGGAATCATTGTTGTTGCAGGATCACACCTGTCCAACAGAGGCAAGAGAGCAATGATGCAAGCCATACCGTATTCATGACTTAACTTCAATAAATAACAGTTAATATATAGGGGATAGTAAAACATTCTGTGCTCATCTTTAGCCACCCTAGCTGTGGGATTCCTTAGAGGGCGATGACAGTCCGTTGATACATCTACAGTAGTAATGTCATTTCACTTTCACATTTGTATCTCTGGTGGATTAGGAGCGCAGAGCTATACCTGATGCAGTCTACTTCATCAGAGTTAGTACATCTCCAGGAGTGTCTCCTTAGTCTGAACATAACACTGCTAACGGAAATGATATGGCGACTGAAGTTTACCATGTTGAAGTGTTTTGAAAGCACATTTTTCTGACTACGGGTGCTAAAAGATAAAAATAAGAATGACTCTTGCTAAATTGACAGCTTACACAATCACGATCTGGAAGTCGATGCTTGCTGCCAGCCGTCCCTTCTGATTGGATCCACCATGTGTCCTGCCAATCTAACTCCTTAGGGATCAAATTAAATTGTATCTGTAGTCTTTGGTCTTGTTACAACCAACAGCACACCATATCCTGGGAATATATAATCAACTTTCAAGATTGTTGTCTACTTGGTCACCATGCATTGAGAAATCTTACATCTTACAATTTTAAAAAGGTGATATGCCAAACTGTTAAGATTATGTTTTAATTCCAGAATCCAACATATTTCTATGCCACAACTCTTTCTTTTTGTCCAACAGTCACTGTCTGAGGTATATCTATTAAACATGAACAAACATAAATAATAAACAGCAGTGCTTGAGATTCACATGCCTAAATACCTTTATGTATATACACCAAGGCACTGCGAATGAAGTATTTATTTCCACCTACCCTAATGTTTCTTTAATTCACATTGCATCATGATGTTTTGATTGTGTCAGGGGTCTGCATAGTGTTCAAGCTCCCTCAGCTAAGTCTGCAATATGACAGAGTGTTCCTCATATTGTGAACCAAGGTAGGCTACATAAAAATATCTGTGTGTATCTGGGTTCAGCAAGGAGACAGATCTAATATTCTCAGATTTACTTTAACAGACAAAAGTAAAGAGATAAGAGCTCAAAGTCAAATCACTGATCTGCAGAATTGACTGCAAACTCAAATAATAGTGCTATATATCTTTGGCAGAGCAAACTCCCTTTGACTGTTACATTTACACATTTGCTCACACTGATGACAGTACACTTCATACTTTGCCACCACTGAGGGGTTAGTGTACTCCTGTCCTACTGCTCTGTTAGAAACCTGAGCACTGCTACTGGCGATAACCACAGCTATTGTAAGATCAAGCTCATTTCATGATCATGTCATATCATTACCAGGAGACCAGCTGCTAATACGATAATAATTTATCGTCAGATCAAGTCTGAAATGTTACTTGCGTCAGAGCAGCTCCATTTGCAACATTAACAAGGACAGATATTTAGACACAATACAAGAAAAACTAACATTTATCCTACCATCACAATCACTGAGAGAAACATACTCAAAGAGCCTTCAGTGTGCATTTGATCTGGGATTCAGCTCTGTATTTACTGTGAGGATTGACTGGAGCACAAAGGATGCTTCAGTCTGACTTTATTAAACTCTGGGACCCTGTGTCTCCGATTAGATGGTAAAAATTCATATTCGCTGTTCATGGTGGGGGTCAGAGATGATGTTGTTGGACAGCCTCACTAGGTTGTTATTATTAAGAACGACTTTGTTTGTTGCATTTGACAGAACAACGGTGTGTAGTTTCGTTTTTATAACCTTCCTGTTGTTCACGGGTCAATGATCAGTTTAAAAAAAAAATGTATATCAGAATAAGAGGTAATTTCCTCAAAAAAACAAACAAACATGGATGGTTCCGTACAGTATGATGTTCTTTTAAAATCATTCAAAAATGTTTGCCTCTTATTAAACTATAACAGTTGGTTCCCTTTTGTGTAAATTAGTTCTATTGAGCTTTAAAAAAAATGGTGGTAATAAGTCAGAATGAAGTTGGCATTAAATGTGTAACACAGATTTAAGTTAAGATTATTTATACTATATGCTTGATAATCAGTCCAACCGGAAGGACAAAAGTTGTATGGGAAAAAAACATTTTAAATCAACAACTAGCTTCATATATTTCAGGGCTCACATTATGTTTAGATTTAGTTTCTAGACTTCCAAATCCTCTGCCAAGTCACACCAGCAGCCGAAGTAAGCCAACCCTTCCTTCCCTTTAATAGGTATGTAAATGCAGCTCGCTCAGGGAGACGGCCCATATGGCCTGACTATTAAAAATCTTGGATGTGTCATCATGTGACACATCGGCTGACTGTGTGGTATTGTCAACGACAATATAAATTAGAATGCATCGTTACAACTCATTGAAAGTAGTTTTTTTCTTGCAAAGAACATATGGAACCATCCACGTTCTTCCTTTTTTTGGTGGCAATTACACAAAATAAGACTTTACCCCGATATAAAAACATTGAGAAACCGGTCAAATTTTACAGAAGGACAACAGGAAAGATACAAAAAACATTAGTTAGTATTTTGTTCAAATATAAACATAAAAACGGTAATTTTCTTAAACAGTCAGTGTGATACCAGGGGCCACAAACAGACAGACAGACAGACAGACAGACAGACAGACAGACAGACAGACAGACAGACAGACAGACAGACACACAGACACACAGAGACATTATTTTGTCCCACCAGCAGTGTTGTCAAGCATTAAACAAGTTACAAATATTTAAAAGATACAATAAGGTAAGATACATCTTGCAAGTTAGCACACTATAAATAAAGTTGACATGAGACCAGAGCCCTGGAGCAGCTCTTTAGCCTCTCTCCCAGGTTGTGTGCTGTGAGGACAGTGCTGGATGGACTGGGACAGGAAGAGCCATTCATCACAGCATCAGCTCCTCAGCTGGCAGTGTCACTGATGGACTGGCAAAGGCCTCGCTTTAAGCCCCCGGCCCCCCCACAGTCTCACTGATAAGCCCCTTGCCTGCCATCAGCCCCTGCATTCCACTTCCATTTCTCTCCTTTTCCAGGCAGACGTTCCCAGGAGTGACAGGGAGGCGTTGGGTGGCTGATAGCGGGAGTAATTAAAAGGACTGATTAGAGTGACGGAAGGAGGACAGTCTGGGAGAAAACAAGAATCTCCCTCAAGACAGAGAGGGGGGAGAAACCGGGGAGAGGTAGGAAATACAGTGCAGATATCATGTCAGATCAGTCTTCAAGTTAAACGTTTTTTATTCCCTCAGTCCCTTCAATTGGGGCAGTATCTCAGGGGAGGCACTCTCACAAAAACAGAATCTGTGTGCGGAGGAAAGTCGATGTGCTCCACTGAGAGCGTCTCAAGGTAAAGCCAAGAGCAACACTGTGAGGCCTACCCCCCCCTCACATATCTGTGTTTTTCCTTCATGCATACATATTTTCCATGATTCCATTATTTAGACTCAAACTGTGAATATGAAGAGATATAACATGGTAGCATGTTTATTTAATTAGAGCAATTTGTGAGATTTCAGTCCAAAAAGATATATAAATTAAAGTAAAAATAAACATTATGACCCTTACACAATCCAAAAGGGTATAATATGAGAGGTAGACTGAATTACTTTAAAGGCATGTGTACTTTCAAACATAACAGAGGATTAAAAAGAA